GAGCCACTCGGCGGAAACACTTGCAGCAGCCCACAACTTGGAGGATTGCTATCCCACGATCGTTACTCCGCACGAACTACGCAGGGCCGCTGGCACCCACTCAGTTGAAAGACGTGCTTGATGTGGGCGGCCCGAGAATTCAGGTCACCTTGACCATCGACGCAGAGTATCTTCAAGTCCTTGTCAAGCGAAGACCAGAAGATTCCGGCTGAGTGTACACTTCTGGGACACATCAGTTGGATGCGACAAATCATGGAACGAGGTATCGGGCGCTGCGCGCAGTGGCGTGACACTCGCGATATGCCTGCGGACGGCCACACCAACGGGAGCATCGACAAAGACATGCTCCTACACGTCATGGGAGGAGCGCGAGCCTTCAGACATGATTTGGAACGACACACTCCATACAGGGCTGGCCAGACAATATCGTCTGAGCCGCCTGAGGATTAGCTATGTGGTGGGAAACTTGCCTGCGAGGTAACTTGCGTGCAAGGTAACTTGCACGCGGGTCAACCTGCCTTGTTGAGCCCGCCTGCTGCTGCCTACCTTGTGTACTATAGTGTTTTGCTGCATGGCTGGCGGTGGACTCGCGCTTCGTCTTCTCCCCCCCGACCCTAAAGGAGTTTAGGGCAAAGGCGAGAGGTAACAAGTGTTTGTCTGCAGCCTTTTGTGATCAAGCGGCCGGCCGCCAAGATCTGATTGTGCCTCATCGCGAGGCGCGCTACTTGCCATCGAGACCGAAAATGCTTTCGCCTGGCATGGCTCGACGCTCCCGCGACTCAGTCCTACTTGGGGCTATCGCTACTACGGTACAAATGAGTTGGATATGGGCTTCGCCTTAGGCGAAGCATCTGGTTGGGCCTCCCAACCCCTTCAAACTGTTGGGGGCTACTTGGGCGGACTTGGAGGCATCTCGGACCCTCTTGAGCCGTCTTGGAAGTCATGTTTGACCATTCTGGGCGAAGTTCGAGGCCGTCTCGGGCCATCTGAGCCGTCTTACAAGCCATCTTGGGACATCGTGGAGCGAGAAAGGCACTGGCAAGTACATTTTCGGCGCCATTCCGGGTGACCGGCGGGGCGGGCCGAAACCCCAAGGGTGCGTTCATTTGGAAGAAGAAACATAAGCAAATCCAGTAGGGTCTAGCACGCCGGGCACCCCTGTGACAAAACCACAGGGGGCGGCGGATCGAAGACGCCTACGGCGAATCACCGCCGCCTTTTGCATGTTTGGAAGCGCCTATGTGGCCGAACGTTGAGGCCAGATCTTCCAAGCTATCGGACCATGTGTTCCCCGAGTCGGTTCGGAAAGCCTTGGGGGAACACGTGGGCATCTTGAAGGTCATCTTGGCCGTCTGGAAGCCATGTTGACCCTTCTGGGCATTTTTGGAGTCTTCGAGGCCATTTTGAGCGTTTTGGAGGCCTCTTCGGCCGTCTTGGGGGCCTCTTTGGGCCGTCTGAGGGGCCTCTTGGGCGATCTTTGGGGCCTCTTGGGCCATCTCGGGCCGTCGGTAGGCCGAAACAAAGCGAATGCCACAATTCTTCAAAAACTCACGGGAGATCGCTGATTTTGGCTTTTTCCGGCCTTCCTGGATGCCTTTTTGGAGGCCCCTTGCGCCGTTCTGGGCCATCTTAGGGCCATCTTCGGCAGTATTGGTGGGCTCCTGGCCCGTCCGCTTGGGGTCCTCGTGGGCTGCCTTGGGGCGGTTTGGGGAGCTTCTTGAGCTGTCTCGAAGCGTCAGAAAGCCGAAAATGCGAGGAGGCCAAAATTCTTCAAAAACCTGCGTCAAATCAACAATTTGTACGTTTTTGGGCTCTCCCGGGAGGCCTCTTGGAGCGCTCTTGGGGCCTCGTGGGGCCCTCTTGGGCCGTCTTGTAACAACTTCCGGGCGACTTGCACTTTTGGCCTCAGCAATGTGAATACGGGGTGATGTGCAAGGGTTTATGGTTTCGGGGACGCGAATATTGTGTAATGTGCGAAAGGTCATTGCCTCGGGGACGCAACAATTGAATCATTTACGAGGGTTTGTGGTCTCGGGGACGCGAGCATTGTAATTGACGAAGGATTATGGCCTCTGGGACGCGAACATCGAGTAATTTACAAGGGTGTGTTGCCTCGGGGACGCGAATATTGTATAATTGACGGTGGTTTGTGGCCTCGGGGACGCAACAATTGTGTAATTTACCAGGGTTTGTGGCCTCAGGGACGCGACCATTGTATAATTTACCTATACGACCACCCTTCGGGTGATAAGGAGGTTCGGGGGGGAAACCAACGTCTCACTCAATCGGTCTCACTATCCATCTCAGTATCGACCTCACTATCGGTCTCGCTCGATCGCTCTCACTTGATCGATCTCACTCGATCTATCTCATTCGATCGATCTCACAATTGATATCACAATCGATCTCACAATCGCTCACACAATCGATCTCACATTCGGTCTCAATATCGATCTCACTATCGATATCACAATCGCTTTCACAATTAACGTCATCATCATCATCATCATCATCATCAGCATCATCATCATCAACATCATCAACATCAACATCATCACCAACATCGTCATTATCAAGTGGGCACAGTCATCATCATCATCATCATAAACATCATCATCAACGTCAGCACCATCATCGGGACAACATGATCATCACCATCACCATCATCATCTCATCATCATCAACATCATCATCATCATCATCGGGGCACAGTCATCGTCATCATCATCAGCAGCATCATCAGAATCATCATCATAATCTGGACACCATCATGATCACCATCGTTCTCATCACCAACATTATCATCAACATCGTCATCATCCTCGGGACACCATCATCATCATGATCATCGCATCATCATCAACAACATCATCATCATTGGGGCACCATCATCATCATGAGCAACATCATCATCAACATCGTCATTATCATTGTTATCATCATCGAGACACCATCAGCATCACCATAATCATCACCATCATCATCATCATCAGCATCGTCATCGGGACACCATAATCATCATCAACATCATCATCATCAACATCATTATCGCCGGGACACCAGTTCCATCAACATCATCATCACCAACATCATCGGAACCATCATCATCATCGGGACACCATCATCGTCATCATCATCAACATAGTCATCATGAGCATCATCATCCTCATCATCGGGACACTATCATCATCATCATCGACACCATCATCAACATCATCATCTTCATCGGGGCACCATCATCATCATCATCATCATCATCTCATCATCATCATCATCAACATCATCTCATCATCATCATCCTCGCGGGACACCGCGGGACACCGGCGGGACACCGCGGGACACTGCGGGACACCGCGGGACACCGCCGGACACCGCGGGACACCGGCGGGACACCGCGGGGCCCCGGCCGCCCGGAAGGGAATCATTTGGTCGCCTCGCCCGCACGGCACGCACGAACACAAACCGAAATCGATTTCCCGGTAGGGGGGCTCTCCGTTCCACTTCGATCTCACCCCCCAACCTCCGACGAAGGTTTGTGGCTTCCGGCACGCGAATCTCATGTATGTTTACGTGTCCCCCCCCCCATGAATCCGTAAGGGCTTCGCCCCCTGCCGCCGGCCCCCTCTCTCGGAGAATGGGCCATGGAAGAGCTAAGTCATGAGGCCTTGGCGCTGTCGTGAAGCAGTATCGAAACTTCATGCGAAGCCGATTCGCAATCAGCAAAACCAACTGATCACAAGAGGGGTTACCACACCTGGCGATTGGTAAGACGTGTATGGTTTACGGGCTTGGTTACCACACCTTGCGATTAAAGGGCCGAGGGAGTTCTCGCAGTTTGGGTTACCACGCCTTGCGATGGATGTGCGTGAAGGGTGGCACCGAATTTCAGAAATGTGCCAATCCCCTGTGTTTTTGGACCCTGACCCCGCGGATCTGCGTAAGGGGTGGCGCCGAATTTCAGAAATGTGGCAAATCCCATGTGTTTTTGGACCCTGACCCCGCGGATCTGCGTGAGGGGTGGCACCGAATTTCAGAAATGTGGCAAATCCCATGTGTTTTTGGACCCTGACCCCGCGGATCTGCGTGAGGGGTGGCACCGAATTTCAGAAATGTGGCAAATCCCTGTGTTTTTGGACCCTGACTCCGCGGATCTGCGTGAGGGGTGGCACCGAATTTCAGAAATGTGGCAAATCCCTTATGTTTTTGGACCCTGACCCCGCGGAGCTGCGTGAGGGGGTGGCACCGAATTTCAGAAATGTGGCAAATCCCGGTGTGTTTTTGGACCCTCACCCCGCGGATCTGCGTGAGGGGTGGCACCGGATTTCAGAAATGTGGCAAATCCCTTGTGTTTTTGGACCCTGACCCCGCGGATCTGCGTGAGGGGTGGCACCGAATTTCAGAAATGTAGCAAATCCCGTGTGTTTTTGGACCCTGGCGTGAGGGGTGGCACCGAATTTTAGAAATGTGGCAAATCCCGTGTGTTTTTGGACCCTGACCCCGCGGATCTGCGTGAGGGGTGTCGATTTCGAGCACCCCCAGCAATTCAGACAACGCGCCCAGGGGGTGCTAAAAAGCCGGTTTGGGCCTCCCCCCCCTCGCGCGGTCAATCAATTAGTTACAGTAACCAGCGATAAGTCAACTAGTTACAGTAACCAGCAAGAAGCAGAACTGTAACACTGGAAACTACAAGCTACAACTGGTACAGGAAACTGCGAACCTCGCTCCTACAGCCTGGTGGCCCCACAAGGGGGCCGGCGGATTTAGAGTTCGCGATCCGGGCGTGGTCAATTGGGTTCCCCCTCCCGCGCGGGTTTCAACAATTTTCAGTAGGAAGCAAAAAGCAGGACTGTAACACTGGAGACTTGAAATTGTAACTGACGCAGGGAGCAGCAACCTCGTCCTGCGGTCTGGTGGCCCCACAAAAGGGCCGGCGGATATACATACGTTCGCTACCGTTTGCGACCCCCTCTTGCTACCCTCACGTCGTCCCCCCGAGCAAGGCGAGCAGCGCCGGGCGCAAGCTGGAGGTGGACGAGGAGGCCAAGCCGCTGCGGCAGAAGATCTTCGTTTTCTGGAACTGGGGAAACCAAGAGCTACCGATACCGCTACCCCGCCGACCTCTCCCGGGGTGCGTTCTGACTAGGATTTCGAGGCGAATCTAGCGGTGGCGACGAGGGCGAGGCCCAAGAAGGGGAAAACAGGCGAGGTGGTAGAGGTATGGGTACGTTGTCTTCCTCCGAGGAACCCAGTTGACGCGCCGTCGGACGACCTCACCCTGAGGAGTCTCGTCGACGTCGTCGGGGGTCGTCGTCGTTGTCGCTGCTTCGCCGCCGTGGGTGGCTCGACTGGTGTCGTCGTCGTCGTCTTCTTTTGGCGGGTCGGGTGGGGGGGGGAGAAGTCGCACGAACTCCGACGCCGCGGGCTTTCCAGCTGCCACAGGGCAGGGGGGAGGACGGGAGTGCGGAGTGGGGAGGCTGAAGGGAGTGCTGGTGATGAGAAGGGTGATGATGATGATGATGATGCTGATGATGACGATGATGATATTGATGATGATGATGATGATGATGATGATGGTGGTGACGATGGTGATGATGATGATGGTGACGATGGTGATGATGATGATGCTGCTGCTGATGATGATGATGGTGATGGTGATGATGATACGGATACTGATACTGAGTATGATATTGATGATTATGATGATGATGATGATGATGATGATGATGATGATGATGGTGATGCTGGTGATGCTGGTGATACTTATGATGATGATGATGATGCTGACGATGATGATGATGATGATGATGATGATGGTGATGATGATGATGGTGGTGGTGGTGGAGGTGATGGAGATGTTGATGATGGCGATGGCGATGGTGATGGTGATGGTGATGGTGATGGTGCTGATGATGATGATGGAAACGGTGATGGTGGTGGTGGTGATGATGATGATGATCATGATGATGGCTGTGCTGTTGCTGATGCTGCTGGTGATGATGCTAATGCTGGTACTACGATGATGAGGCTGATGATGGTGATGATGCTGGTGCTGGTGCTGGTGATGGTGCTCGTGATGGTGACGGTGCTGGTGCTTGTGAATGTGATGATGATGACGAAGATGCTGATACTTATGATGATGGTCATGATGATGATGATGATTACGATGTTGATGATGATGATTATGATGATGATGATGATGATGATGATGATGATGATGACGATGATGATGATGATGATGGTGATGGTGATGGTGATGGTGATGGTGATGGTGATGGTGGTAGTGATGATGATGCTGCTAATGCTGATGATGATGATGCTGATGATGATGATGACGATGATGGCGATGATGACGATGATGGTGATGCCTATGCTCAGGGCAAGGGTGAGGGGGAGGGGGAGAGTCAGCATGTGGAGGGGGAGTGGGAGGAAGTGGAGGATCAGGAGGATGAGGAGAATGCACAGGAGGAAGCGAAGAAGGACGTGCGGACGCGCCCGCGAGCGACGTCACCCCGAGGAGCCTCACGAAGGCGTTCCACAGCTGGGCGAAGAGCCAGGTAGAGGAGAGCGGCAGGCCGCAGGCTCCCAAGAGGCCACTGGCGGCGTCGCCGCCGCCAGCCCGCCCTAGGCGCGCACTGGAGATCGAGGAGGAGGAGGAGCAGGAAGAGGAGGAGGAGGAGGGGGCATCCTCCTCTTCCTCTCAGCTCTGGGGATCAGGCAAGCCGTGCCAGTTCCCCATTGCCATGGCTCGTCGTGGGTATCTCGATCGGACTGGTGAAGATCGGTTCTGCAATTATTCAGCCTCGGGGCCCGAGTGGTGGAGCGTATGTCACCACGCTACGGCTGTAAGTGCTGTAAGCCCCTCCCTTCCCCCTCCTCTCCCTGGCTTTCAGTACGAGGAGGAGTGAAGTGAGAACACGCGGGCGGGATGGGAAGGATCAGGAGGGAGAGGGAGACATAAAGGAGGAGGAGCGTGTGGGATGTGGTGTGGGCGTGGGGATGGCGCGGCGCACGAGAAGGAGGATTCGTATGCCAGGGGGGGGGGAGCTACATTGTATTTTTAGAGGCCAGCGCGGATTTGTAGGATAAAGTC